GTAATCTGCCTGTGTTCCCCCCCTTTCCCCCCTCCGGCACCCAAAGCCACTAGCTCAGGGGTGGGCAAACCTTTTGGCCTGAGGGCCACATCAGGGTTCTAAAACTGTATGGAGGGCTGGTGTAGTGTATTAAATTGCTCCCCGTAGGAATGTGCTACTTATAGTGTGCTACTTACTGCTGCCAGTGCTGATGCTCTGTAAGTAGCACATTCCTACGGGGAGCAATTTAATACACTACACCCGGGTAGGGGAGGCTGTTCCTCCCCAAACAGCCTGGCCCCTGGCCCCTGCCCCCTGACTGCCCCCCTCAGAACCTCTGACCCATCCAACCCCCCTGCTCTTTGTCCCCTGACTGCCCCCTCCCGGGATCTCCTGCCACTAACCGTGCCCCTCCCCCCCAGGACCCCACCCTCTATCCAATCCCCACCGCTCCCTGTCCCCTGACTGCCCTGACCCCATCCACACCCCCACCCTGACAGGCTCCCTGGGACTCCCACACCTATCCAACTGCTCCCTGACTGCCCCCGAAACTCTTTGTCCCTCCCCACCCCCTTATCATGCCACTCAGAGCACCAGGACTGGCAGCCTTAAGTAGCAGATTCCTATGGGGAGCAATTGAATACACTACACCAGCCCTCCATACAGTTTTAGAACCCTGATGTGGCCCTCAGGCCAAAAAGTTTGCCCACCCCTGAGCTAGTGGCTTGGAGTGCAGGAGGGGGGAAAGTGGTGTAACTCTGCAAGTTTACCATGACCCCTACCCATTTCCGTATTACAATGGAGGTTTCCACCACACTTTTATCTTACTCCCAGACAAACAGGAGGACCGAACCAAACTGTACAATGACCTGGAGAGGTTAGAGCATTGGGAATAGAAGGCAACAAGAGAAGATTCAGGCCCCAAAAGCGTGAAGTCAAGGGAGGGGAAAGGGACCATATAAAATGGGGGGGATTAATTAAGCAGTTGCCCCTTTCATGTCAGTGTGTGGTTTATTTTCATATTGTCTCCTGCATACTATCCTAAGGTAACTTTTTCATGTAATAAAGCATTGCTACAAGGGAGATGTACGTCCGGGAGAGATGGTCCATAAGACTCTCTCTTCAAAAAGTGGTCTGAGTATAAAATACAGAGGAGATACTCATGGGGATGTAGTGGGAGGCTAACTCTGATTAAAAACCAAATCTCTATGAGAGTAATTAACCTTCAAAATTTTATCACCCATTTCCATGTGCCACTCACTCCAGCCACATCTGCTGCTGTTCTTTTTCAGGTTACTTAGGAGGCTTTGATGGAAACTTCTTGTGGAACAGAATTGGGGCTGGTAAGAGCTGATTTTAACAGTGTCTCATTCTTCCAACAGAATAGAGCTGCATTTCAGAGCTGATTCATGATTTTTTAGTCACTAATAGAAGCAGAGGGGTTTTTGTTTTTGTTTAGTTTGTTTACTTGATCTTGGTGATGTTTCTTCAGAAGAGATGTTAAATCAAAGTCTTCTGTATGACTGCAGTGGATGTTTCAGAAGATGCTAAAGATCCCATAGCACAGAAGAGAGTAGGGAGTAATTATAAAAGGCAGCATAGTCCAGAAGATAGGTTAATGGGACTGAGAATCAAGACACCTCCCAGCTCTCAGATGGACTTGCTGTGACACCTTGTGCAAGTCCCATTTGCTTGGTTTTCAGAGGTGCCGAGTATCCACAGCTCCCAGTGATTTCATTTCGAGTTGTGGATACTCCGTTTTTCTGAACGTCATACTTCACTTTACCCATCTTGAAAAAGGGGAACAATGATACTTGCCCATTTTCTGAAGCCCTTTGAAGTCTACAGATGAAAGCACTGTATAAATGTGAAGGATTATTATTATTAGCCTATGTTACTTCAGATAATTATATTCTAATGTCCCCTAACTGTGAGTAAAAGAAATTGCAGGATCGGGCTACAGCCCCGTGTTGCTGATATCTTAGCTCTTTGTTTATAAACAACATGGGGAAATACCTTGAGTCTGAGAAGAGCTGTATGAAACCAAATCCTATTCTTCTTGCAAACACCGATAGAATAAGCAACGGCTTCGAATGCTCTTGTCCTCACGCTGTTTTCTGTCCTAGAGTACAATATGAACGTGCCCATTTGGTCCTTGCGACTGCTGCCAGCACTAACTGGTGCCCTGTGTGTGCCTTTAGCGTACCAGATTTTGGTAGAGCTGCACTTCTCCCATTGTGCTGCGTTTGGAGCTGCCCTCCTGATTCTCTTCGGTAAGGATTGTGTCTTCAGCCTTACTCTCCATACAGAGGGGGAATGATCCGCTTTCCCCTTTGAATTCTTCCACGTTGAATTTTTAGTGCATGTGGCAGTTAGTAAGAGCAATGCTGAGAGTTAGGGAGGTGGGTGCTGCGGTGCAGTCCTGATCAGCATATCCTGCTATTCAGTCCTGAGGCCCACACACAGCTCTTTCCATGCACTTCAATTCTGACCTGCAGCACAGCCTGCGGTTCCAGCCCTGCTCCTACCTAGACGTGACTAGGGCTCTCTATTATTGAACAAAGAGGAAGGTTCAACACGGAACCTCACAGCCATGCGGGCAGCTTTATTTCTTTGCCTTTGAGGAGCCTCTTTAGGCTCTTCCTCAGATTTCTGTAATATACTGTCATGCACACCCATCCCCAGAAGGGCCATACCTCAGCTTTAGATTTCAGCAAATCTTTTCTTCTTCCCCTCACCCGTCTGCCATTTCCCATGCTTGAAAGGTTTCTCAAACACAGAGCATGGCTCTGTCTCTCATCTCAGGCTTATTATAATACTGTGAAAAGACTTTTGTTTTGCTTTCTTTAGAAATATTTCTTTGATTCTCAGTTGATCAGGTCTTTAGAAGTCCTTATGGTTGATGGTATTGTTGCTGCCATGAGTATTGCTTGACAGTTTTCCTACCAATAATTTGTGCTTAATTTGGTGTGTATATATCTTCTCCTTCTGTTTCTAACAGAGAACTCTCTGATCACTCAATCCAGGCTGATGCTCTTGGAATCAGTACTAATCTTTTTTATCCTGCTGGCAATTTTGTCCTACCTGAAGTTCTACAATTTACAGAAGTGCAGGTACAACTGGTTTTCATTCCTGGGCGTTGGATAACCTTCCAGTTAGTTGTAATAAGCCATTCATCATTTAAGTATAAAACATTTGTGCCTCTTGGTTTTTTTTTAATTGCCATATAAATAAATACATCAAAGGCTGTCTGGCACCAATTATAATAATCTTGTGTGTGGTATACTGCAAACCTTATTTGGGGTGTGGGCTAATGGTCCAAATTCAGGCTGGGGAGGCAAGAATCCTTATCTAATTGTAGTTGTGCCTTGGGCAAGTCACTTCATTTCTCTGAGCCTCAGAATCCCCTCTGTAAAATGGGGATAATGATACTTGACCACTCATAGTGATGTTGGAAGGATTTTATCTTCCAAGCAATTTGAAAGTTTAAATTTATATTGGAATTGGAAAAGGTTCAGAAAAGGGCAACAAAAATTATTAGGGCTATGGAACGGCTTCCGTATGAGGAGAGATTAATAAGACTGGGACTTTTCAGCTTGGAAAAGAGACGACTAACAGGGGGATATGATTGAGGTTTATAAAATCATGACTGGTAAGGAGAAAGTAAATACGGAAGTGTTATTAACTCCTCATAACACAAGAACTAGGGGGTCACCAAATGAAATTAATAGGCAGCAAGTTTAAAACAAACAAAAGCAAATATTTCTTCACACAACGCACAGTCAATCTGTGGAACTCTTTGCCAGAGAATGATATTGTGAAGGCCAAGACTATAACAGGGTTCAAAAAAGAACTAGATAAATTAATGGAGGTTAGGTCCATCAATGGCTATTAGCCAGGATGGGCAGGGATGGTGTCCCTAGCCTCTGTTTGCCAGAAGCTGGGAATGAGCGACAGGGGATGGATCACTTGATGATTACCTATTCTGTTCATTCCCTCTGGGGCACCTTGTCATTGGCCACTGTCGGAAGACAGGATACTGGGTTAGATGGACCTTTGGTCTGACCCAGTATGGCCATTCTTATGTTCTAAAGCAGGGGTCCCCAATGTGGTGCCTGCGGGCGCCCTGGCACCCACCGGGGCATCCATGTATACCCGCCTACTGGCCGCTGGAAAAGCAGCCACTGAAATGCCGCCGAGAAGCGGCAATGTCAAGAAGCACGGCGGCATTTCGGCGGCGACGCCTCTTGATGACACTGCTTCACGAATTTCGGCAGCGATGCCTCTTGATGTTGCCGCTTCACGGCGGCATTTTGGTGGCTGCTTGTCCGGTGGCCACGGTCCTCGGCGGCTAGTCCGGTGCCCGCCCCATGGAAAAGGTTGGGGACCACAGTTCTAAAGTGTTGTTTAAATGATAGTGGGATTGTCTTGGCTTTCTTATAATTTAAAAAAAAATCCCTTGGCTGTTTCTCCCTCATTGCCAATTCCTGGTCTGGAAAATTTCCCTGTGCATAGAAATAAAGAGGGTGACAAATATCCCTATTAGTCATTTGTTATTGCTTATGGGCGCAGAGTCAACTTAGAAATCTTTGTCTCTTCTCGCGTGGCTTTGTGTGTTCTCTGATTCTTGCAGAGCCCCATTTAAAATAATACCCTTTAAACTTACCCTAGCCTGTGGCCTAGCCCGTTGCTTTATTGCGATATTGGAAGCTGTGCAGACTCTCAGTGCTCAGAATGACTTTTCAGGGTCAGAAGTGTTTAACATCACCTAGACCAAGGATAACAATCGCTGTCCTGGGAGGCCTGATATAAACTACTATTAGCATAATAGAATTCTAGTTGGGTGCCTGTATCTTACTGTGTTTTCTCTCCTTTTGTCCTTTTATCTAAGCCCCTTCACTGCAGGCTGGTGGTTTTGGCTTTTATTGACTGGAGTTGCTTGTTCCTGTGCAGTTGGGTAAGTACTGACTTCTCCTGTCATGCTGTTTTACTAAACTCCCGGATTGCTTTAGTGTTCACCGTCTCAGCCTTTGCTTTGCTGTGTTATCAAGAGCTCAGCTTTCCAGACTCGCTCTTGATGCTGCAGATCGTTGTGGCACATCTGTCTGTAGCGCTTCTCCAGGTTTTATTCTTCACTGAATACCCCTGAAATAATCAATGCGCCGATGACATCAATCCACATAAAGCAGTGAAACACAGACTGATGGGGGTTGTACTGAAAAGAATGAAATACACCTCTACCCCGATATAACGCGACCCTATATAACACGAATTCGGATATAACGTGGTAAAGCAGTGCTCCGGGGGGGCGGGGCTGCACACTTCAGGGATCAAAGCAAGTTCGATATAACGCGGTTTCACCTATAATGCGGTAAGATTTTTTGGCTCCGGAGGTCAGCGTTATATCTGGGTAGAGGTGTACATATATTGGTACAAGCCTCCATCAGAGATGGACCTTCTAAAAACTGAGACCTGGATTTCAACTCCTACTCTCAACTTTGTGTTTGTCTGAGTTCAGGGACCCTCCATACTCTACCTTGTGATAGGCTGCCTTGTTATCAACAGCCTCTCTGCCCTTATCATTAGCAAGCAAATAGCCACTTCAGAGACCAAGCCACAAAGCATCTTATTCAGTCCGCATACAGAACTGGAGCACCAATGTTGCTGGGCTTGGGAACTTCTTGCTCAAGAGAGTTTGAATACGTACACCTTGCATTAAATATTGTCTATAGTCTGGGTATGTTTAACTCCGTTTGATCTTTGTGTGCTGTCTTCTCAGGGTAAAATACATGGGGCTTTTCACCTACATGCTGCTCTTGGCCATCGCTGGAGTCCACTCCTGGCACTTGATAGGAGACCAGACCTTGTCAAATGTAGGTAGCCTAATGTACTCGATAAATAGCATGTAATTACATTCACAGCATGCATCCAGAGAAGGAGGCGCAAGCTAAAAGCCATCTAAACCATCAGCTAATAATTCAACACTTGAAGAAATCCTAGGCATGTGTTGCAATTAAGCCTACTGTTATGGTCTGGAAGCCCTCTGCTTGCAGAGCTATGGCCCAGCTATGTTATAGGAAAAAAGCAGGGTCAAGTTTGAGAGAAAGTGTACGTGTGTAGCTTTTCTGGTGCCGAACTGTATTTCTGAACGGGAAGTGGCTTGCCCTCCTGCCCCTGCTGCTACCCATCTTTAATATGGTTTGACAGGGTCTGCAGGTTAAAACCTATCCAATTTCAGTGTATCCTGTGCACCCCAGTCTGACCTTGCACGAGAAGTGATGAAAGTGTCCGCAGTGATAAGTCCACAGGGAAGTTGGGGATTTTTTTCCTTTCCTTTTTAAAAATAACCAGGTACCTGGTTATCATCAATAGCTGGGAAAGGGGTGGGGGAGCAGGGAAATAAACAGATCTGCTTACTTTTTCCCAGCTCTGCTGCATGACCTTCGGCAAGTTGCTTCATCTGTCTGTGCCTCAGTTTCCCCATCTGTTAAATGGGAATACCCTTCCATATTTCACATAAATGTTGTGAAGCATGATTAAATAACACTGTAAAGTGCTTTGAGATCCTGAGCTGTATTAGCCTTATTACCTATCAGTGGGGGAGACCTGCACAAAGCTGGGACTTACCAGAAGGGATGTAACAGTGAGTTCTTTGTATTCTGCCAGGTTTCTGTGTTGTGCCATTTGCTGGCGAGGGGACTAGCTCTAGTAGTCGTCCCAGTAGCAATGTACCTGTTTTTCTTCTACGTTCACTTGACTTTGCTCTACCGCTCAGGACCTCATGACCAGATTATGACCAGTGCTTTCCAGGCCAGCTTGGAGGTAAGGAAAGCGGGAGTGAAGGAAAGGAGATGTTGGAAATGGGTCGTGCACATACCCTCAGTTGTGGAAATGGACTAAATTAGCACTATGAAATACTTGCTCCTTTGTCCTCATCTTGCTGCTATTGTGCTATAAAATGGCTTTAAGCTGAAATAGTGAGGAAGTGCTGAATCCTAATAGTAAGTGAAAGCTCTGTCCCCATCTCTATCCTGGGGCTTTCCTTTGTACCAAAGCAATGTTTGGTGTCCCACACACAATATGCCCACTCTTCTACATAAGAGCACAGATAGAGCTAAATTCTCGGGTTGGGTTATGCCAGTGGAACACTACTGAAGTCAATGGAATTAGTCTCACAAGTAAATGATATAACGAAATCACAAGGGGGTTTTAAAAATACCAAAACCCAGAATTGGAGGGAAACTATCTAGTCAGGGCTAGAAGATCAGTAACATGTCCCTAACACAGCGGGTCACCTATAGATAGAGCCCTGTTTTATTTGCAAATGCAAACCAACATGAAATAAAATGAAAAACTCGCCCTCTAGTGGCAGCTCCTGTCCCGCCACTCACTCAGATTTGGCCCCTGTCATCATGATGGCAGGATGGATGGGTCAAACATGAGTGGAACTGCGACCCCATGCGTCAGTTTGCAGTGTCCAGAGCGGGGAGCCAGGCCCACCCCTAAGGGATAGGAGCTGCTGCGTGAGTGTGGGGCAGGCTTGCTCAGTAATACCTGTCTCCCCCAGGCTTCCCTCCCTCCTAAGGCAGGACCCAGCCCTCCCCCTGTGCCTCCCACTCCCCCTGCATGACTTAACCATCCTCCAATACCTGTGGGGGGCAGGACCAGCCCCACCGTGGATGGGAGAATTGATAAAATGAAATAACAAGAAATTCCCCTCCAAACCCCCCAAAATTATAAAAAATTATTTTTCGGGGCTCTACCTACAGATTCAGTAGACAGATGTTAGTCACATTGCTTAATCCTCAGACTGCGGTACTGAGAGCAGTGTAAGGACCTACATAGACTAGAACAGAGCCCATATAGAATAGTCCCTTAGTTTATTGTTGGTGCAGGATTGCTTTGGGGATGTTCCCTGAGACCCTGAAATTCTGCAGGCTTCATTCTGTAACCAGCTTACCTCTGAACATAATGTTGCAGGCTCGGAATTTTAGAGCTATAACGAGGACAGCAAGCCTTATACTAACGTTATATTACACGTTAAAGCTGTGACTGACTCTCTTCAGAGTCAAACAGCTTCTGAGGTTTTTTCCTCTGGTTTATTATCTTATTATGCTTTTTAGGGCGGGCTAGCTCGGATCACACACGGCCAGCCCCTTGAGGTAGCCTATGGCTCCCAGATTACCCTGCGGAATGTTTTAGGCAAACCCATGCCATGCTGGCTCCATTCTCACAAGAGCACTTATCCCATCAGGTGAGGAATCTGTTTTGTTCTGTAACACTAGAGTGTAAGCGGCGGGGGTTAACTGCTCCTGTTCTTGAGCTGACAGTTCAGATCTCACTGTCTGTGTCTGTGCAGCATCATAGCCTCTCTTTCCATCAAGCTTTCAGGGTATGTTAACTACTGCATGTCATACAAAACCTTGTTATTACTCCACGAAGGGCTTTGGAGCCCATTAATATTCCTATTGAAGCGTCGGGGGGTAAACTTCCATTGAGCAGTTCGTAGTTATAATACCGATTTAGGATAATGTGTGATTCATCCTTAAAAGAATTTTGTAATCAGCTTGCCAAACCACTGGCAATTAATTTCAACATCCTTGAGAAGAGGGAAGGTACCAGAGACTTGCAGGGGAAATAAAACGTAGGGCGGGGAAGGGAAAATCCTAGTATTTACCTTAGATTCAGTCTCACTTCAGTCCCTAGTACAATATTAGACCAGATTATGAAAGAGAGAATTTGTAAGTACCTACAGGGTAACAGAACACCAAACAGCATGGGCTTAAAAAGAACAGATCAGAGCAAGAAAAGGGCTTGCTTTTCACAATCCAATTCCAAAATGAGAGGATGAATGGAATGTGGTAATGATGCAAGGGCTCTAGATTTCAGTAGTGTATTCAGTGTTATCTGATGTGATTACATTAAATTTTAGATTAAATCTCAGGAAAAACTTCATTCCTGTAAGAACAGTAGGACAATGGAACAGACTCCCTAGGGAGGTTGGGGAAGCTCCTTCACTGGAGGTTTTCAGAAGGAGGAGCCATCTGTCTTGGATGGTTTAGACACAACAAATCCTGCATCTTGGCGGTAGGTTTGACGAGATCAGTGGCTCTCAACCTTTCCAGACTACTGTACCCCTTTCAGGAGTCTGATTTGTCTTGTTTCACCTCACTTAAAAACTACTTGCTTACAAAATCAGACATAAAAATACAAAAGTGTCACAGCCACACTATTACTGAAAAATTGCTGACTTTCTCATTTTTACCATATAATTATAAAATAAATCAATTGGAATACAAATATTGTATTTACATGTCGGGTATATAGTATATAGAGCAGTATAAACAAGTCATTGTCTGTATGAAATTTTAGTTTGTACTGACGTCACTAGTGTTTTTTATGTAGCCTGTTGTAAAACTAGGCAAACATCTAGATGAGCTGATGTACCCCCGGAAGACCTCTGAATAACCCCTAGTTGAGAACCACTCGACTAGGTGACCCTTGTGGTTCCTTCTAACCCTATGATTCTGTGATTCTAATTGTCCTTGGAAATATAAATTGGTAGGAATTTGAGCACTGTTACATGGCCTGGAAATTGGTTAAAAGGATCAGGAAAACTGGCACTGTATTGAGATGCAAAAGGCATCCAGTGGGATGCAACTGAGATCAGTGATACTACCATATTCCTTAGCAATTGGGACATGTTGGAAATGCCAAATGAGTACAGAGGAAAAAAACCAGAGTTTAAAAGCTGGGCAGGGAGACAAAATCACGTTGACTTGGTCAAATGGAAGCTAATATATATATGGTGGGGAAATAATCTGAAATGCAGATATTCAGCTCACAGGGCGGGGGAATGGTATCTAGAAAGCTGTAATTTACAAAAGAAATCTTGGTTGGTAGTGGAGAGAAAACTGAATGAATGAGTGTTTCCCATCAGCTGCTGCAGCCAGTAGACCAATGCAATGTTTTGGCTACCTATACAGAGAATGTTATTTTTCCCCAGAGTAAGGAGCTGACAGTCCCTTTTCATACAGCTCCTTTGGCATGGTAGCTATAATACTGCATATGATACTGGGCATCACAATACCAAACTGATGCTGGCAAACTTGAGAGGATTCTAAGATCAGAGCGAAATGAGTCTAGATTGACTAAGGCCAGGCCTTCACTGCGCACTTACTTTGGTATAACCATCACTACAGACCCCTGAGTGTTGTAGTTACGTCGACCTAACCTCTGGTGCAGACAGCGCTGTGTCTCCCACTGACATAGCTACTCCCTCTCACGGAGCTGGAGTTACTAAGCCGACAGGAGAGCGTCTTCATCAGAAGTGGTGCAGATATGCCAATGCAAGTTTGTAGTGTAGACTTGCCCTAAACAATGACTGTGGGGATGAGAGAACCATCGAAACACCAAGGAAGGAGGGGAATGGTTTATGGTGCATGATGGGGTATATGTAAAGAAAATTAAGAAAAATTACCTCCATTGATTTCCTGCATTGTTGGATAGTGGTCTCAAGGGAAACAGTGGAAGCGCCGTTGTTTCTGGCGTTTCAGATTAGACAGGGTAAATCTCTGGGGAATATACAGCAGGGACGTATCCGCCATTAGCCTGGAGGACTGGAAGAGAGAAGCTAGTAGGTCTTTTCCCTATTGAAGTCTCGTGCTTTAATCTTTCCACCTTCATTTACCCAAGCACTGGCCAAAGCCATTGATAGCCCAACCCACTCCATCCCTTCATGGATATTACAGCACAGTTCACTGCATGGAAGAGAGGGTCTGAGCATTGGCTTGTCAGGCACCCCTTGGAATGGAAAACAAGAAAACACGGTGAGTGCTGGGTGCACTCTGCTCCTCGGAAGCCTTGGCCTCAGCACATGTATTACATTACATCTGATGTGCTGTGACTCCTGTGCTGTGCTCTGTATATTGTGTCTCTTCAGCTGTCTTCAAAAGAACAAAGGCAGTGGTGTAGTGCCGATTCAGGTCACTGAGTGAGACTTGCTAGTTTAATCTGAGGCTGCTCTCTGTTCCACACAGTCACAGGGAACAGAGCTGTACTCAGAGTTCTGTCCTCTTACCTACCCATATAGGTATGAGAATGGCCGAGGCAGCTCCCACCAACAGCAGGTGACTTGTTACCCCTTCAAGGATGTCAATAACTGGTGGATTGTTAAGGATCCTGGGATGTGAGTATACAGGAAACATGCTTAAATGCCATACCATGAGCTCTGCTGATGAAAACAGATCCCAAAAGCTAAGCAGGGCTAGGCCTGATTAGTACAGGGACTGGACACCAGCTGGGAATACTGGGTTCCATAGGCTTAGAGAAGTAACTGTGGTCTAGTGGATTGAGCATGGGTCTGGGAGTCAGGACTCCCAGTCTCAAGTTGTGTTCCCCACACTGCCACTGACTCATTGCATGTCCTGGGGTAAGTCACTGCACTTCTTCATCTCCATTCCCCCATCTGTCGAATGGAAATGATAGTGTTATTGGATCTCCTGGGTGCTGGAAGGATTTAATTAATATTTGCAAATGCTTTGAGATTCTGGGATGGAAAGTATTATACAAGGGTGAATAATTTGTATACAGCAAGAGAGACATAGAAACGTCACCATAAGTTTAATTCCAGAAAAACATCTCCTACCACCAGATAGTGACTAGAACTGGGCTTCAGTTAAATCTTTTGCACAGGCAGGAGGGGGCACTCAGCTGTAGGGAGATGCTGGCTGTCCCGATCACCCTGCTGGCTGACTTAGGAGCAGCACTGAGGTGCTCGAAAAAAAGAGTTGCTCCTGCCAGAGGCATGGGACCTGGGGGTACAAAGGGAATTGTAAAGAGAAATGAAACTGATGGGAAAGTCTTTGAATTCCATTTTGCATGTGAAAAAAAACCAAAATACTGCTTCTAAAGTCTGTGTGCAGGTCTCAGTGAGTAGGGCTGACCCTGGCTGTACTTGAGTAGGCCTCAGGAAATAATAGAATTCACTTTGAGGGAAATTAACTGTTTGTGTTTGAAGTTAGGAATGAGATATAGATCCTCCCAAATTAGAGAGAATCTCGTGTGTGTGTATCCTGCTCTTAAGTTTTGTCAATTAGGGGTTATGCCAGCCAAAGCCCTAGTGTAGACAGGTAAACTGGCAAAAGATTGCTTTTGTTGGGGGAACTGATATAAGCTATACCAACTAAAGGATGTTTTGCTGGTATAAACTGCATCCAAACTAGGAGTGTTTGCCAATATCACTGTGCAGGAATGGCGCTGAAGTGTAGACCTGTACAGAAAACTGCTGGATCGACAGCCCTGGGGAGTGAAGTTTTCTCTTTATCCACAGAGCAGCTAAGTACAGGGAAGGCTGGGGAAGCTTCAGTGCCCCACCCCTGCCAGTGTGCATTGTATCTGTCTAGGGTCTCCATGACCCACACAGGCTTTGGAGACTGCCCAGTGACGGCGTCCGTTGTGATAAGGATACGTGTCAGACCTGACTCATTTCATATAAGCCATCAGTCAGCTGTTAGATGGAAATAAATTTTGGTGACCAGTGGCTGACCTGGATTCAGATCAGCCACCAAGAGGCTAAAAGCTCTGTTTCCCATTACTGATTCCCTGAGTCAGCCTGTCCCTCTCTCTGCTTAGTGTCCAATAACTTTCTCTGCATCCAGCTGTAACCCATAAGGGGCTCAGATTTCTCATCTGACCGTCCAAATGTTTCTCCTCCTTCCTTTTGTCCTGGTCTCCAGACTTTTCAAGCTAATGGTCACTAGTTGGCACTAGCTGTGATGGGGAATTGAAACATTTCTTTTGGTTTGTCATCCTGGCAGGCAGCAGCTGGTGGTGAGTAACCCACCACGTCCCGTCCGACATGGGCATATTGTGCAACTGGTCCACGGCATCACAACTCGTTACCTCAACACGTATGTGCTTCTCCCAGCCTGCTGGCTCATTCTGTTTTGTTGCTTCTCTAAGTGTCTGTGTAGGGATGGGGGGACACTGGGGAGTGCTGGTGCTCTCCCTAAGACACTTCTAGGCTCTCACAGTATACTCAGACATAGGCCTGGATACAACTGGTCCAGTCACTAAACGGTTTCTGGTTAGTATCACAAATTGCTCTTCTACTGCCAGACCAACTGCAAAAGGCAAATGACAGACCATTTATGGGGTATTTAGAAGTGTTAGAGACCTCTTAGGTCCCAGCTAGTCCAATATACATTGTGACAGCATTGCACATTTCTACATGCTCACTCGTCTGGGTAATTTTTCCCCCCCCAACAGGCAGGTCTTCTTAGTTTTTGCATCAGCACCACCCACACCATTATGGTAAGGGTGGGTGAGTAGACTTTGGGTGGGATTTTCAGAAGCGCCTAATTGACTTAGCAGCACGTCCCATTGAATTTCATGGCATGTGGCTTTCAGCTGACTTGGTGCTCCCAATCATGTAGGCACTTGAAAAGTGCACCCCATGTGCCTGGCTGTTGTGTGTTTGTGACAGTTTTGTAAGGCTGCATTATTATAAAAATGGTCTCTTAAGAGTCCACATGGACTTCAGTCACCTAGATTAGGAGGTGGGGCATTTGAACCCTGAATGTTGGTTCTCTTTGTGCTCATTCCAGGCCCAAGCGGATCAGGAATGCCAGTTGGTCCATTCTCAGAAACCCCACTGAAGACCGTTACTATTCCAGCTACCCTTCTGTTTGCCCCAATTGAGGTGTTTGTGCTTTACTAAGGATGGTAGCTGGCAAAATCAGCTTCCTCCAATGCTGTTTTATGGCCCTTTATAACAAGGAGCCCCCTCCCTTTCTTTGAACCCCCCCCCCAAATATGCCGCTTGATTTGTGCCAATACGTTGTTTGGCTTTTTGCTTGCTGAATTTCTGTACCCCCCTGAGTAACTTTGTGGGATTTGATTATTAAATAACCCTGTGAAATGAACAGAGAATTTAGCCCAGAACACTTACTTTATGGATCTTGCAGACATGATGTTGCTGCACCTCTGAGCCCACACTCCCAGGAAATCTCCTGTTACATTGATTATAACATCTCCATGCCAGCACAGAACCTCTGGAGAGTGGTGAGTGGAAACTTGGGTGAGGGGCAGGGAGGTTTTTCTCCTATTGGGAAACATCTAAGACAAAGTAAAGATCAAAAGACCATCCCTCTCTTGCAGGAAATTGTAAATCGGGAATTGGACACAGACGTGTGGAAGACCATTTTATTTGAAGTAAGGTTTGTCCATGTGAATACCTCAGCAGTGCTGAAGGTAAGTGGGTTTATGTACATCAGGCTTCTCCTGTTCCCTTGTAATCATCCCGAGGGTCCATGCAATCTGTGTCCAAAACTAATCCTCCTTAAAGTGAAAAAGCCCTGTATTTTTATCAGCTTGTCTGACATCAGTCTGGTGAAAGGACTGTGTTTCTGATGGCAATGAAGCACTGTAATGGCATGATCTGTTACAGACTGAACACTGCATAATTCCATTGCATGTTGCAAGTGCTCAGCTCATTTGAGGATCAGCCTGTGGGTCAGAAGTAGAGGCTACATCATTAACAGCGGGTGGTGGACAGGCCTGCTTAAGAATTCCTCTTCACAGGTAACATTAAGGCAGGTGTCTGAGACAGGATCCACTTTACTAGTTGATCTAAGCTCTTTTACCACGTTCGTCACTGTCACTACTGAGCACTCACTCCACTGCCATCCTATTAAGGTGGGGTCTGTTTAGCTCTAGCAATAGGTCTGAACTTCAGGAACAGCTTGGCAGGATTGTGCCTTCGCTTTAAGCCTTCATTTTTATTTTTCAGCTCAGTGGTGCATCTCTACCTGAGTGGGGCTACCGGCAGCTGGAGATCATTGGGGAGAAGTTGTCCAAAGGGTATCACCAGAGCATGCTGTGGAATGTGGAGGAGCACAGATACGGGAAAAGTAAGTCTCAGTAGAGTTCTATAGATTATAATGTGTGGGCTTCCTCTTCAGGGGAAAGGGGCTAGATATAGTACAGAAAGGCATTTATTGGTGGTGCTAGGGCCATAGAACCTACGCCAGCCTGTAGGTTGGAGTAACAGCTGTAGAACAGTTCTGCCATCACTCCCACAGCTGCGAGGGTTGAGTTACTTGGGCTGGACATGGAGATGAAGGATTTGTCCCCAAGTGACTGGGACTGTTTATATGAACATTAGGAACACATAGCCTTTGAGCAGACTGTGTCCCTCCTTCCTTGCACATGGAATCACACCGGTTTCATTGCAGAAGGGCCCCTCTGAGCAAAGGAGAGGGAGGGTTATGGAATGTTGGACGTTTCTGAGCCATGTGATGCACTTTCAGGCCAAGAGCAGAAGGAGCGGGAAGTGGAGCTGCACTCACCCACACAGGCTGACATCAGCAAAAACCTCAGTTTCATGGCCAGATTCACAGAACTGCAGGTGACTGGGCCAAGGGAACAGGGAGGGGGATGGGATGTGATTCCTCACTGCATGCTAGGCAGCGGTTCTGTGCAGCATTTCTGTGAAGGGTGCCTCGGATTGATAACAGCCGTTGCTTCGTCATTAGGGGGAGAGTTGTTTTCTCACTTCCCCATCAAAAAAGACACATGTGTACAAAACTACCTGTTGAAACAGCTGTAGGGGCCACTGCAGTGTTTTCTATGGGCCGTTTCTGGAGGTAAGACATGTGTTGCCGTGAAAGATTGTGAAGTTCTGAAAACATACATTGCAAAATGTTGTTTTTAGTTTATCCAGCATGCTGATCTATGGCATGTGCTTAAAGTACCTCCAGCTGTATAACTCAACTGTTCAGTAATAGGGCACTCCAAGACTCAGCCTTAACATGGATTTTTAATGGGTGTTAGCACTGCACTTGATGTCCCTTACTAACCTTCAAAAATTCAATAAGGAACCAGTATTCATTTAAAATTATAATCAAATACAGTAATGACAACCTCCTCTGGCTCAGAAACTTGCCTGGCCAGTGTAGGTGTGGGATTGCTCATCCATGCCAGGTGTCTTCATTGCAGTTCCAAATCTGAAAGTCCTCTGATTGCTTTGTTCTAGTGGAAGATACTAACATTGAAAAATGAAGACACAGAACATAAGTACAGCTCTTCCCCCCTAGACTGGATCACTATGGATACAAACATCGCTTACTGGTTCCACCCTATCTCTGGTGTAAGTATCTGTGTCATGTATTAAGTCTGGTTTGCTCATTTGGATTATGTGAAGTCTGAAATGGAAGATATGAAAGGGGTGAGAATGTTTGAAAGAGATCAGGCTCAATTCTCCTGGTGTCTTTCTAGGATGTCTCTTACAGATAGGGGTGGGTAGGAACCTGTTGTGAGTTTCAAAGCAAATAATTTTCTCCTCTGGTAAAACAAACACTTCACATTTTAATTTAATAGAAGCTTTCCTTTCCCCCTCCCACATTCTCTTGAAATGTTCCTTACAATGCCAGATAGGACAGTTGGTATAACCCGCTGCCCAACAGTAGAAAAGTAAACTGGAGAGTTCTGCAGGCACTCGATACAGTTTTTAACAGCTTTGTTCCTTAAATTGCAATTTTCCCTTAAAGTGTTAGCAGAAGAGAGTTATTTACTTAATATTCACTTGTTCCAGGGTAGAACATCAGTCCACCACTGACAGCTTCTTTCAAATGCCATATATAAAAATGAATGATGAAATAATACAGCCACCCCACTGTCAATAGCCAGATGGACAGGGGATGGCTACAGCTTGTCAGCTAAATTCCGAGTTTTTGGATTGGGGTGTATACAGCTATGTAATACTTAATTTTTGGCTTCTCTCTGTAGTAAAAAGTCACTGCTGTTTTCCACCTCTTATCCTACAGGCTCAGATCCACCTCATTGGGAACGTTCTCACCTGGGCTTCAGCTAATGTCGCAACTCTTGTATACGTGTGTCTGTTCCTGTGGTATTTGCTTCGACGACGGAGGAAGATTTGTGACATCCCTGAAGGTCTGATCCCTTAGCCACAGAAGTAGCCTTGTACAGAGCAGTTTGACACCTTGCTGCACAGAAGCTGTGAGAATTCTAATTGGGGTTCAGATACTCTTGTCTATGGACGAAGAACTACAGATCTCCCCTGGTTAGCTTGACGAGCTATGCGCTCTCCTGATAGAAATTTTTATTGCAGGGCACCATCCTTTCTTTGGGAGATTACACTGAATATAGTATCAATGCATTTCCTGGATGCTTTAATGCTCAAAGGATCAGATTTGGAATCCATCAGCGCTGACCTGCCCTGGGTATTTTAGAGGTGCCCTTATACATACAGGTCCTGTCTGCTCTGCATGACCACTAAAGATCCTATTCCCAGTTTTACACAGCATAACCTTTGGCCAAAGTGGCTAGGGAAATGTTATCTAGCCATTCCCACGTGTGCAACATTAAGAACTTTTGAAAAATTGCCTGTTCTTGCAGTTGCTAGTTTCCAGGGTGTTTGGTAGCAGACCCTCTCAGGAGTCCTGATTAGTGTGTTGCCCTTTCTGTCTTGTAGATGCATGGAGGCTCTGGGTATCAGCTGGAGGACTCTGCGTGGGAGGCTGGGCTGTGAATTACCTCCCCTTTTTCATGATGGAGAAGACACTTTTCCTGTACCACTACCTGCCTGCTCTCACTTTCCAAATTCTCCTGATTCCTGTTGTCCTGCAGCATCTGACCGATCATCTCTGCAGGTACCCAGGACACCCTACAGGGTGTTCTGCAGTTCTAATTAGTGGGGATGAAGGTAGTGAAATGATGGGGTTCATAGTCCCAGCTGCAGCACTGACTTCAGGCACGTTGCATTATGTCCCATCTGTAGTAACGCTGCCCTGCCTCCCAGAGGGGCATGGGGAGAATTACTCAGTTAGTGCTTGTACAGAGCCAGGCAAGGTAAATTGCAGCCCTGTTTAGCAGTTCGTTTCTTTGGCGGCGAGAAGACACAACCTGTTTCCTGGGGTCTCCATGTCTAACAGGTAGCAGAGTGCAAAGTTCCAAATTGCTACACTAGACTCTTGCTATTAGACTATGGAGGTAGCTTTGCTTTAACTTCATTTCTCTCTCTCTCAGATCCCAACTCCCTAAGAACGCGTTCAGTGCCTTGATGGTAGCCTGGTTCTCCTCCATTTACCTGGTCTATCGCACCTTCAGCCCACTGACATATGGGGAGCCTACCCTCTCAGCAGCTGAACTCAGGGCCCTGCGCTGGAAGGACAGCTGGGACATCTTGATCCGCAAACATTAGTGGAGCCAGTCAAGATAGAACTGATCATGCTTATAAGTAACTCTGCTCTCATTTCTTAATAGGTGCTCAGGGTAAAAAGCCTTGTAATTTACATTGGTAAGAAATGCATCCCTATGGGGCAGATGATGTAATGGGAAGACTCAGTTTCTGTTCTGCTCTATAGCCTGAGTTAGTCTCATTGCAAATCTACAGTATTGTCTCAAACTACCCTTGATATTTAGTGTAGAACAGATGCCTAGAGTGTTTACTGTAGTGCTTCCTCATGGTCTAATCACCAACCTGTTGTTCAAGGCTGCCACCTTTTGGAGAGATGAGACTCATACTTGACTAGATGCATTCAGAGGAGACCCTAGTGACACTTCACTGAAGCTTTAACTAACTTAACCTCAACACAGTAGAGCTCACTAGTGCCCAAGGCCAGAGGGCTGAGAGGAGATTGAAAGCACTACACAGGGATTTGTTTGTTCATTCCTGCTCCCCTTGCTGTTTAGACACCCCTTTGGGGCTCTTCTTTGAAGCTCCTAGTGAGAATGTTCCTTTGGGAGTGGGGGTGTGAAAATACTTTTATATAAAATGGTTACATCTATGTGGCTGTTGTTTCTTCATTGGTTTATTAGTCAAAGCAGCACAACCACTTGAGCCAGGCTTTGCTTTTATAAGAGATCATCTTCAACAATAACCACTTCTTCCTGCTAGGCTTAAGCCTGCATTTACAGACTGTACCTGAGAGACAGGAGGTACCAATTGGTGTTTGTTTTAAAGTGTCACTAGTGGACTGAGAGAGGGAGCACTAAGCTAGAGCCTGGGATTTCACATTAAGTTTGTGGCTTTTCTTCTGCTCATTTTAGGATGTGCCACAGCCCTCTGAGCTGAATGCCTGAGCTTTAACGCTGCTTTGGGGAAGGAATGAGAACTATAAACCATGTCTGCAAATGAATTCGGCCCAGCAGACTCTGCACCCAATTAGTACTGAAGTGTTCTCCAAGGTCAGCCTTCCTGACATGGGGCACAAAAACTGAAGCCTATGCTATATAGCGTGTAGTTAGGCTCAGCAACTAGTGACAAAACACCTCAACTAGAAGGCGGAGCCCCACCGCTCCTTTGTCTGACTGTAAGTTGCCAGTTGCCCAAGAGAAGCCTAATTTTCCTCAGCCCTGAGTAAAATAGACTTCTCATTATTGGCACAACTGCAGAGATCAGTCCTTTTCCCCACACAGAAGGGTGAACTGTCCATGGCAGTGCCAGATCTCAGGGGGCAGCTGGGGACCTGTACCTGCTTGTTTAAAAACAAGGCTCTTTGCTGCGTCTCACTTGGAGCAAAGAGCTGTTTTCCTGGCAGCCAACCTTGCTGCTAAGGAAAAGCACCATGAGGGGAGATTATTAATCTTGTATCCCACTGGGTTTAATTCCTAGGGGGATTTCAGCACACAATGCCATCTAACACCAGGTCCTGGGTCAATAATCCAGCTCCTTCAGTGAGAAGACACACACACAACCCTCTTGAATCTGCCCCTAAGTTGCTATGGGCATGTCACAAACCAGTGTGTTAAAAAGGTTGGTCTGGAACAGAGGCAACTTCTTCAGACCCCCACCTGGTTAGTGAGGACGGCTGCTGGACTCCAGATGAGATCGTTTGCCAGCTGCCAGCACGGTGCTGCCCTCTGCTTGCTCAGGGAACGATCGCTTGTATGTCCGACCATGCCCATTCATCGCCCCTCTCTGCCACTTGCAGATGTCGCCATTCAAAATGTCCTGGATATGCTGCACAATGAGGTTTATAGCAACTGCAAAAAGAAGAGTAAGTATCTGACACATGCACGTGGTTGGGCGAGCTCTTTGTCACAGCCACCTGCTCAAAAAAATAGTGGAACAAACAGCCCAGTCTGAGTCAATGTGTGAACCAGCTACTCTTCATTGCAATGGTGCTGTTTGCATTTGGGGTCAGATCCCAACAACATAATGCTAAAACCTATAGTCCTGATTCAAACAAAGTCAGGGATAATCCATGTCAGTTTCTAAGCACTGCCCCCTCCACTTTACAACAATGTTCAGTAGGAGAATGTGGGGCTCTGACTTCATGTGCAGAGTTCAATTAAAGCAGTAAACATCCCTTACCCATATTGTCGACTCCACGAGGAATAATCACATCAGCATACTTCTTTGTCTGCAAATCAGAAACAATAGTAGGGCTTGGCTTTTCACAGTGATGATTACCACCAGCCCCAGATCTGAAAAAGTGGGTCACTTCGATTGTAGCAGTATCTAAAAGTCTGTGTGGTCAACTGAATGTTACTATCTCCTGAATTGTGTAGCTGTGACGGGACAGCTTAAAAGGTGGGGGACAGTTGCCTCTATACTAAAAGCGCTCAAGATATTCCTCTCCTCTCCTACTACTACAGTGACCTGAAGCTGATGTTCAGCATAGCCTGACTCACTGCAACAAGAGCCGGTCAATCCCGTTAGAATTGGTTCCAATCAGAACACCACATGCTGCTTGTAAATCTGTTTGGGTGCTGAATTGCTGCCTGTCTCTGCTTTTCCAAGCCCTCTGCTTTTTATAAAAAGGCAATTCCTAGGAGGGATGCTGATCTTGCTACTGCACTTATAGGGTTTAAGTTAAAGACCAGCACCGACCTCCTGCTAGAGCAAAGTAAAAATTGTTGTTTTGCATTCTTCAAGCACGAACTAGTTAGTTTATTTATATGGTCACCGAACTGGCAGCCGCTTCCTCTCCTGTACAATTACATGCAGGAGGGAAGGGGAGCATTGCCCCCAGGTCATACTGCAGTGTTCCAAGTCAACTGACACTCTATTACATACATGAAAGGCTAGGCATAGGCTGGGCATGTCAGCAATCAGTGAGAAAAGAAACCACTCATATAGCACTATAAATACCCACTGCTTGTAAAGCCGCCTGGAAAACAACCATGACATGGCAGCTCCGGTGAGAAGCAGGCACACAGCCAAAGAGGACATCCCAGGTGCAACAGACATGTTTTTATCTCCTAAACCATTCCCATGGAGTCGCTCAGCATAGCCCCTTTTTACAAAGATGTATAAATAGCACAACAGTGGCCACACTTTGGGAAGGTTCCAACACTCCAATTCATGGCATGCTGGGTAGGACCTCACATCTGAGCCAAACTCAGCTACACCAAATTGTTGTGTTGTCTGCAATGAAAGGGAGACCGGCTGGATGGTTCAATAGTTTCTTTAATATCTAGGACTAACAGTGGCTAACTGCCAGGGGTTAAACTACTGGGAATTTTATTCAATGCAAAGATTAAATCTGAACAATAGGATCTTCACTAAACATTACTTTTTGCTCCAAACAGCTATGATTTGAGTGTTTTATACCAATCAAAGGGCCCTAGTCCCACTTCTTCAGCTACAGTATAAATAACCATCACTCAGCCTCTCCAGTCCCTTAAAACGTGTCTGATTTTAAACAAGTGAAAAGCTTGGTACCGGCAAGCAGAACTCCTCAAAGGCAGGTTTGACGAAGGTTGTGTACTGAGTCAAGATCTGCTCTAGGTCCCTCCCGCGCTTCATATCTCGAAGAACTGGGGCAGGGGGAAAAACAAGGGGCAGTGAGTTTTATCGTATGCATAGAGACGATTGCCACAAGGCAAGCAGGTGGCCGATAATGGAGCAGAAGCCCAGGGTATTACCTCTGCGGGACAGCCGGACATCAGAGTCTGTGTCAACGAAGAGTCGGAGATGGAACATGTCCCGAATGTCTTGGTTATAGAATACCAGGATCCCCTCAAAAAGAACCACGTCTGCAGGATAGACCACTGTTGTCTCTGCCAACCTGCCACGGGTATATGGACAAAGTCTCAAACAAAGTGGCTTTCAACACTGAATGCTAACATGCAGTTCCATTCCATTAAACACGGCTAACCTAGTCCCAGCTCTTCTTGCTCCCTCCAGCCCTCTGCAACAAGACCACACACATTCAGCTAGGGTGGGCCAGGGAGACAGGGCAGCTCACGCTGACTCTGCCCAGCACTGTGTGGAAGACGTTTGTTAAGAACTGAGACTTACCTGGAATGGGTTACAAAATCATAGGTCGGCACCTCTACAGTTTTTCCCTCCACAATATTTTTCAGGGTTGTGTGCATCAAATCATTATCAAAAGCACCTGCAAAATGAAGGAATAAAGAAACAAGGCCCAGCTGCTGTTATGACCAAAATATTGCCAGTCTTTCCTGGTACTGAAGGATTTAAGTCTACTAACATTCCTCTGTCTGACATTACCAGACCCAGGAAGGGGGGGTATTCCTGGCTTATTCCTTTCTAGCTACAGCAATCCAATCCCTAAGTCATGTTAAAGGAAAACTGTAGCATAACCCCAAAGAGAATGTAATCACTGCATCCAGGTACAAAGTGTCTTTGACACAGAAATGAAGACTAATCCAAACAGACATGAAAGCTGCCATCTAGACAGCCTGGTAGCTTACAGATGGACATGGCAACCACAGCTCAGCAAGGGAAAGGACCAAGAAAAGCCAAATCTTAACATTTTTTGCATTAGCTTGAAATAAAATGCAAAAAATGTTAAGTTAACATAAACCAAAACAGAATTACAGTGTGGGAAGCCTTATCCACTTGTCCTGCCTTTGAAAAGAGTGAGCAGTGCTGCTTAACCTACAGCAGGTGTTCTTCCACTTTTGTCCAGGATGGACTGCAGGGAATGGCTCCCGTTTGCAATCATGTAACATTTCTGGGGCAAGGACAGCTGTTGCTTACACAGAAAAGAAGTATATTAGGAAAGTATCTGATGTGTTTTTAGTTTCTTTTAATGCATTTTAGCAGCTGGAAACCAGGAGGTGATCGAGCATCATGTGAGCGTTAATGTTCCGCAGACCTACAGCATTAGACTAACTCCCACTGCAAAGCAACAGTACGATGGCATCTAGCTCCAGCAACAACACAGGCACCAATCACAACATGAGGATACTGTACAGTTTTTCTAAGAACTCAGTCAGAAACGAATTAATTTTGTTCTTTCTTCCCTATTAACTGCCACTGCAGTTCTCCCTGCCTTTCACTTGGGCAGGGTTGAGGTACAGGAACCCAAATACCCAGATTTGGGGGTGTTCAATACTTTCCATTCTGCCTGTTCAAAGCCCTTTACAAACAATAATTAAACCGTGCACCAAGTCAGGCTTATGCCCCTTTTCAGATAACTGAAGCATGTAAACTCTTCGGGGCAGGGACGGTGCATTCCACATTTGTACAGCACCTAGCACAATAGGGTCCTGGTCCATGACGGGCTGAGAGGTGCCACAGTAATAAGAGGAGAGTAGTAACTTGCCCAAAGTCACCCAGAAATGCAGTGGTAGAGCTAGGAACAGGCTCTTTTGAGTCCTAGTGCTGTGCTCTATGCACTGAACCCTCTCAGGAAGGCCACCCCCAGGAACGCTGAGATTTCCCACGGGAGTAGGTGGGAGGGGTCTTCGCATTATGCTTAACTGAAGCATCAGTTTCTGCTGGCTCTTATAACTAATGTGCCCAGAGGAAACACTTTCCTTGTATTCCTTTAGAATTGGCTCCCTCCCCGCACAGCAAATGTCTCGCAATAGGTTGCGGGAAGCTCTGATTCCTGGCACTAGCAGAGTTTGGAAAAACCAAACAGCACTCTGACATCAGCACACATAGTAGAGCTGTGGCAGAACAGCAGGTGATGGTTAATGGCACTGTAAGCGCGCAGAGGCAGGGACCGGTCTTTTTATTTACATAGAAAGCACCATGCACACCCGCTATGGTGCTCACAGTGAGTAGCTTTGAGGTATTTACTGTAGCTAAGAGCAGTAGCTATTTTGCCCTTCCATGACAGTCTCCTATCAATGTCCTTCCCCATACACACTTCCTCCTTCCCCAAAGGCAAACATGAAGTGGGGCGGGGAGATCTTTAAAACTTTACCTGGGTGATCAAAGTTGTACTGTCCCTTCAATGCCTTGGCTTTCTGGTCCGCAGTGAGGACCTTGTAGAACCTATCCTGGCTCAGAATGATGAGCTTTCGTTGGTGATGATCCACCTCATTTTGTCCCAGGAGCTCCATGATTTTCTCACATACTGTGGACTGAGGAACAACAAGCAGCCAGTCACAAACCACCACCCTCTGCAGCACCGTCCATCGGGGCTTCACCAACATTCAACTTCACAGCAGTCTTGGGAGGTGGTGGGTAAGAACCATCCTTATTTTATAGTGGACAAAACAAGGCAGAGGTTAAGAGGCCCCCCCAACACATGTCAGAGCCAGGGACAGAACCCACTCCTGTGCTTTAAGCACTTCATTATACCTCCTCTCCTGCCTAATTCAAAACCCATCCACCAGGCTGTAGGGAGCTTTAAAGAGGGGAGATGTGGATACAAGAAGCAGTCGGGGGACATGGGGCAGAAGAATGGGTTCATGGGGGCACAGAGATTATCGAGTGGAACTGACCTAAGATACAGTGTTAGGTGAGTGGAGCCATGGCAGCCATCTCAAGGCAGGTTCTGTTCACAAATCTAATTCCAACCCTGTCACTCTCTGTGCTGGGAAGGCTCAATTTAGGTTTTGCAATAGAGAAGTTCAGACTTGGAGGTTAAGTCTCCTATCACTAGTATTCCAGGTTCCCTAGGTATCTGATACACAAGGCTACTTTGTAATGCTAGAGTGCCTTCTCTCCAGAAATGCTGTACAAACATTTGTTCATCACATCTGCCTACCTGAGGGCTGGGGGAAGGTTTGTGAGATATTCCCATTTTACAAACGGCAAACCTGAGGCACAGAGAGATTAAGTAACCAACCAAGTAAACCAGCAACAGAACATGGACTAGAACCAAGGTTCAATTTAAAAACATAAGAATGGCCACAGACCAATGGTCCATCTAGCTCAGTAGCCCGTCTTCTGACAGTGATCAGTGCCAGGTGTTTCAGAAGGGCTAGACGGGGGGAGGGATAGCTCAGTGGTTTGAGCATTGGCCTGCTAAACCCAGGGTTATGAGTTCAATCCTTGAGGGGGTCTGGGGCAAAAATCAGTACTTGGTTCTGCTAGTGAAGGCAGGGGGCTGGACTCAATGACCTTTGGGGGTCCCTTCCAGCTCTATGAGATAGGTATATCTCCATATATAAATTATATAGAAGTGTGGACAGAGCAGTGATCAATCCCAGCTTCTAGCAGTCAGAGGTTTAGGGACACCCAAAGCATGAGGTTGTGTCCCTCACCATTTGGACTAATAGCCGTTGATGAATCTACCTGCCATGAACTTTTCTTTTTTGAACCCAGTTATACTTTTGGCTTGTACAACATCCCCTGGCAACAAGTGCCACAGATTGACTGTGCACTGTGTAAAGAAGTACTTCCTTACATTTGTTTTAAACCTGCTGCCTATTAGTTTAATTGGATAACCCCTGGTTCCTCTGTTATGTGAAGTGGTAAATAACACTTCCCTATTCACTTTTTGCTCCACCATTCATGATTTATTAGACCTCATATCCCCTCTTAACCGTCTCTTTTCCAAGCTGAACAGGCCGAGTTTTTTAATCTCTCCTGGTATGGAAGCTGTGCCACACCCTTAATAATTTTTGTTGCCCTTCTCTGTGCTTTTTCCAATTCTAATATATCTTTTTTGAGATGCGGCAGCCAGAACTGCACACAGTATTCAAGGTGTAGGCGTACCATGGATTTATACAGTGGCAATTTTCCATCTTATTATCTAGCCCTTTCCTCATGGTTCCTAACATGGTTAGCTTTTTTGACTGCCGCTGCACATTGAGCCAATGTTTTCAGAGAACTAGCCGCGAGGTGGTTGTTTCTAGCTTCCAAGGCCCTTACGCCAGCCACTAGATCATTCTGCCTCTCCATTAAAGTCGACATTCCCTCCTTGGCAACTTAGTTTCTCTGCAGAACTTAGTCTCTGCTGACAGCCCATCAAAAAAGAGCCTTGAATAGGTTGTGTACATTGAAAAGAGCTGAGAAAAGGGTTCCCAGACATAACATTTATCACTGGATCTTGCCCTAACTAAAACACCATTTCTCAGAGAGTGGGACGCACCACCCAGAGTAGGGCTGAACTGCAGCTGGGAGCAAGCTTCCCAGCCTGGGGCGACAGACTCATGCTACGTCTGCTCACGCTAGATGCTAACAAGAGCGGTGTGGACATGGCAGCTCAAGCTAGTGACCTGAGCTCAGACCCCCCTCATTGGGGGTCTGATTGGTGGGGCTTGGACTCGGGCGGCTGGCCTAAGCCACCATGCTAAGTTGGGAGCTAAGTTGCTCCCAGCTGCAGTGTAGATATACCCACAGAGCCCAAACAAAGCCACTGGCTTTTCCTCAGCTCCATCCATCTCCCTAGATCAA